ATCAATGCTTTAATATATCTAATAATATTTTTTTTCTATTTAAAGCAATAGTCTTTATTACACGTATTCAATTCTAGAAAGTGCAAGTTAATTAGAGCTATATTTATAAACATCAACAGTAAAAGACGGTTGCCAAGAAGAAATTATTATTTTAGAATTTCTAATTTTGAACAATTGGCAATTAGAAATAATATACGTATATACAACAGACAATATCGATTGCCCGTTTAGAAGCTTACAAGAATATAAATTTCTCTCATATTTAGATATAAAATTTGTTCAGTGGTTGGTTTTTAACTCTCAATCTGCTGAAAAGAACAACCCCGCTTTACATTTTTAAACAGTCCATTCACGAATGTTCAGACTCTGTATTGTTGCAAAGAATAACTACTTGCGGATTATGAAATTGTTGACTTTTTTACATTTGCATTGGTTCTTTTTAAACAACATTCATTAAAAAAAAATAACATTCCAAAGAAAACAAAAAATAAATCATGTGCATGTTTTCACCTATAGCAACTTTTTAGATATACCTAATTATTAGAAACTATCTTGATATATAGCATGTTTAGTATGTAAGGCGTGGCCCCGGACGGTAACTTTCCCTTTACCGTCCATAATCTGCTTTAATAAAACCGAGTCTTCAACATTTTCAAATTTGCCGTTTTGTGCGTACTTTCTCTCTATTTTATACCATTCAAAGATTTGATAGGAAATGTAAATTATTTATTTGCTAATTATTCATTTTTATAAGCCAAAAGTATCGATAACATAGCTGCTGTTGTTTAATTGATTATAATTGTATGCTTTTGGTATTTTGATTGGTTATAATGTTTTAATCACAGTCTCAAATAATCATGCTTCGCCTCCAACCCCTCTCCCCCAAATGTTCACTAATTATCTCTTTTTACATGAATGTCACATGGTAAAATTACTTTCATTGTTAATTTTACTGTCAGGATAATTATGGGAAAATGACGAGGTGATACGAATGATGATTTCATATATAATCTGTCACTACATACGTTTATTAATCAATTCGTTTTTCCAGTCTCCATAAAAATGCGTACATGCATTATGTATATTGTGCAAAATATCATATACTCAGTAGTATGTAAAGAGATTTATATTTTTTCTATATCTATGATTTAAAAAACCCCCCCATTTATGGGAATTAAAAGGTTTTAAATTTTAAAGATAAAAAAAAAAACCGGGGTGGGCATTTTTAAAAAAATTATTCGGAATTTTTTTTAATTTCGTTGGTTTTTAAACCGGGGCCCCCAGCTTGAATTTCGAGGTTCTGATAAAAAAAATTTCGGCCCATATTCTTTAGCCTCTACACTGAAATTTACACACGATTCTCATACCGATATCTTATGAAATACTGACACCGAGGTCACACCCCGGTTTTACCACAATTATATAAAATAAAACGACTTTGATCTTTTAGGGGGTTTCAGTTAGAACCAAAAAAGAAAAGTTGAAATCAGAGAACCATCATTACTACCTCGTAAGAAAGAGGATGCCCCAAGGAAGTCCATGAAGACTTCATACACACTTTTTGAAAAGGAGGTCTCCCCTTTCCTTTTTGCACTGTTTTTAAAAAAAAATTTACTGGTTTTAATTTTTAAAAGGGGAGGGAAAACCATTGGGAAATAATACGGCCCTTTTTGGGGCCCCCCAAAAAGGGCCCCCAAAAAGATAAACTGCCGAGCTGTGCAGGGTTTTGGCCATGTGCGACAAAAATGAGACCCGTTTAAAAAATTGCTAGGGGAAGGGGAAAACTTTTTTTTCAGTTAGGGAATTCCCGATTGATGTCCCCATGGCATTTCCCCAAAAATTTCCCGCTAGAGGGGTCCCAAAGTTTATAAAGACCAAAAAGGGCCAGGTGGACATTTTAAATAATTTTTTTTCCTTTCGAAAATAACCTGATTTTTTTCTAAACCGGGTCGTAACTCAGGATAAACAAAGGGCCATCAAATTCGATCCAGAATTTAAAAAAAAAAAGGCATGCAGTGGAAGCACCCTGGCTCGTCCTCTCCGAAGAAATTCAAGAGGGTGCCATCAGCAGGGAAGATGATCGCTTCAATTTTTTGGAATAGTCAGGGGATAATCATGATTGACTATGCAGACGAACTGTGACGTCTGCGTCAAGACATCGCGCATAAAAGAAGGAGCAAACTGACTCAAGGAGTTATCTTTCTGCACGACAGTGCGCCAGCTCACACATCCCAAGTTGCAATGGCTACTGAAACTGACTGCGGCTTTGAAATTCTTCCCCATCCCCCATATTCTCCAGACTTGACCTCTGACTTCTACCTGTTTCCGAAACTGAAAACCAAGCTGCGTGGTAGACGTTTTGAAAGCAATGAAGGTATCATGGAGGCGGTCAATGAGTTCTTTGAGGACCAAAATAGAGAGTTTTATTTTAAAGGGTTAAACAAGTTGGAGCACAGGTGGGCAAAGTGCATTGATGTCGAGGGAGAGTAAGACTATTAGTTGGGTTCTCTGACTACCGGATGTACATCGGGCCAAGAACTTTTCGGTCATTGTTTATAAAACTAAATTAATTAATTAATGAAAAAAGCGCTATCGTCTTTCATATTTTGCAAATTGTGTCGCTATAGCACCAGACAATTATTTGTTTTGGTCACCATTTTGAGGGCCATTTCCAATAATTTTTATTCTTAATATAAGGGAAAAGTCTTTCATAATAATATTAGCTTCATATAAACTGATATCAAAGACCCGTTTTGGTATTTGAATTACGACGAATGTTAAATGATTCCTACTCTTTTGTATACAAACGTTGAATGATTTTATTTTGATTTCTTCTAATTATTATCATTATTATGTAAATTATAATTTAAAGTATGTTTTTTATGACAACTGTTGAATCACGTAGTATTGAAAATGAAATGCGGAAATTGTTATTAAATACCGTAGAAATCTGATAAATAAGCGAATATTAAAGTAAGCATATACATCGTCACCGTTATTCTTTATGTATTTATAAGCGCTTACAATGTTCTTTGCCGTAGAGTTGTCATTTGGTTGCCATTAAAGAAATTTCGAGTGAAAAACGTCGACCTTCCAGAACCTAATGAAATAATACAAAGACCCTAGTGGGATTCTGACTCAAAGTCGTGGAGGACTAGATGTTCCGTGAAAGAAAAGAGGCTAAAAACGACCTGTACCAGCGGGTTGCAGAAAGTTTGAAATTCTGCCGGTTAGCAAACTTGCATGTGTTGTCTGTATTTTCAACGATAGTCAGAAACCATACAAAATTTTAGACATAAAGAGAACATTCTAATTTGGCGTTGTGGATATAATTATGTTATGAAATGACGTTTTTATTTTTTTATCATGGCTGTAAATGCCCGAGACTGTTAAGTATCTTATTAGTTTCGTGAGTCTGACATTTAACGATCTATGCTACTATTTTTATCTGCAATTATAAATACTTCTTATATCCAAAACCTGCAGAAGAATGATATGTATTCAAAAATATTTTAATCATTTAGCAAACATTCCAACATTAAAGGAGATACATGTATAAGAAAGTTACACGCGTTGAAGAATGATGTGGACGCAAACTCACAAGTCAAAAATATATGTCACGCGATTTCACAGGAAATCTTTTAAAAACAAGAGGGCCATGATGGCCCTGAGGTCGCTCACCTGTATATAGGCCCCACGGAGCAGGGCCAATTTAAACCCCAGGGCTTTTATTTGAACAAACTTGGAAGGCAACTATTAGAAGATGTTTGATAATGTTAAGTTTTTACTACACACATGTAATGAAAAACAACGATCTCCCCAAGGGCCAATTTTAACCCAAGTCCTTTTATTTGAACAAACTTGGTAGACACCCATCAGAAGATGTTTCATGCTTAACATCTAAGCTCCAGCTCATTGGTTTTTTTTTCAAAGAAGATTTTTAAGTTTTTGCTATGCCCATATAAGGAAAATCAATGACCCCCGGGGGCGGAGCCAATTTTGACCCCAGGGCTTTTATCTGAACAAACTTTGTAGACACTTACTAGAAGATATTTCACTTTGCAACACAAAATGTATTGCAGAACTGTAAATAGAAAAATCTTGTCCAGCTTTCACAGGTCAAGCTTCTGGTGGGATTTCAATGAAACTTCAAATGAGTGGCCATATATAGTTTTGGAAGACATATATTTTTGTGACAAAAACCCATATAGTTAAGTATGATAGTATTGTATAAACATTTGCATGCTGTGAATAATCGTTAGCTTAGCCAGTTTTAGATATTTATCGGACAATAAAGGCTTAGCGTGACAATATCGTTTGGTCACTGATTTCTGTCAATTTTCAGCTATCATCAATGATTCAAATATCAAGTCAATAAAATCAGTTACACTGTTGATCGTTATTGTTAATCGTTCTATTGTATGCATGATTAATTGGAAAGTAAATTTATTTTCATTTTACTATATTCATTTATTTACAGGTGTTGGAAAACCATTATCTGCTTTTGATTTATGATTTATGAAATCAAATGGCATTGTTCTTTACAAAAAACAAACTCATAATTCATCATATATAGTTGTTATTGTAAATTTAAGACTGTTAAAATGCAACTATAGTATATAATGGCATTCAGGATGTTTTAAAATTGATGCTCGTAGGAATCAAACCACAATGTCATTGGATCGAGTTGTTGATTAAAGGTTTACGTCGGTGTTAATTCTTTTACAATACAATACATTACAAAATTTTATTCGTTATAAAACATACACACATGTTTACAGCCAAACAAAGATGTTTAGTGACAAACATGTCAAATGAAATGAAGTTTAATCCGAAGAGAGAGTAGTAGTTCTTTGGAAATCATTAGTAAGGAATAGTAAGTATATCAATACATGAAAGTCATAATTTTAATCAAAATATTAAGAATGTGATTAAAACAAGTAAATATTTATAGGTCACAGTTTTAATGATAAAAATTTTCTTATCTGTATACATATATAATGTTTATATCGCATCTTACCATTATTTGTCTTATATCGAGTTTGAAAATAATCCGTGGACAGTGATGATTAAATTTGTTTGTTTCTACCTTTGTGTTTTGATCGTTTCCGGGTTTTTGTACGATAATCCATGCGACGTATTTCCAAAGTATTCTGGCGGGTAAGTTTTTGTAAGTTTTACTTGAAAGTGATTATAACATTTTTCTTATTCAAAACAGTCAACGTTTTATATTTAGCTACTTAAACATTTTTGATGTCTTTTATTTATATGCAATAGTGTAGTATCTCTAATTATAGAATGTAAGCAAACGAATGTGTTGTTTTCCATCCCACCTAGCTTTATACATGTTCCGAATGGTAACAAAAGTGGTTATTCAAATTGTTGCCAAATATTTTACATCAATGATGATATGTATAAGTTGTTCTTCCGGATAACCTATGCAAAAGAATTCAGTATTGACACTCTGATATTGTATAACATAATTTATAAACCATTACAAATGTATATCTCATTTTTACCTACTTATTTTTTTCATTGTTCCCGTGGGATCTCCACGTAGTTTTTAGAATATTAACTGAATTTAGTTAACATGTTGACATCATTTATGTAAAACCTATAATTTTAACATTTATATCTTATTCCAAATTTGCTGTTGAACTGATTTTAGATAAACCATTTTATTTTATAGCATTTCAAACTTCAACAATTTCACAACAACTGTAAACGTTCCAGCTAAATGCAAGAATGGGACATTCCGCTGGGACTATCCTCAAGGTCACGCCATGCTGCATTTCCAAAATATGCACGGGGTAAATATAGTCTATTCTAAGTTTGAAATGTCAATGTGAAGTACTTTGAATATTAATACAATAGATATACATCAAGAAAATCTTAAAAAGTGTATAATACGACCTTTGAGCATACATCAATAAAATTGCCTGAGAAGAAGTTTTGAAAAATATTTATCAAAGACCTTTTTTTCGCAATAAATAATTTGGTGGTGGTCGTAGTTTTCACTCCGGATCACGACAGTAAAGCCACATTGAATTCACCAGAGCACAGTTTAACCACCGCATCGTTCCTAGGCAGGCTGTCAAGCAGTTTACCTGTACTAGTTGCCTTCACTTTCGCAAGGAACTGAAACTTCTCTACATGCCAGAGCAGAGGTACAGTGCGTAGACCGTAGAAAGGATTTCATGATCAATCACAACGAAAGTGACCTGCGCCGTCCGGGAATCGAACCCGGTCGCCCGATTCACAGTGCAACGCTCTACCTATTGAGCTAACCGGGCGGCTGTTAAATAATTTGAAATTGTATCATTTTCTATTCACTTGATAAAAAAGAAGACATTTTTATATTTTCACATTTTATTTCGTTTTTGTATTTAGATGGAAATAAAAATATGCATAAAGGACAGCTTAGGTGGAACATTCTTCAATGTTACAGATAAAGCTACTAACGAACGTCTAGCAACTTTTGATTACGGTAAATCTACTTTTCAATAATTTGTTTTAGGTATTTTCCAGATCAGAGAAAATCACTCTAGATCAAACTCATTTGGCATGAGAAAAAAATCTTATTTATGAAGTGTAATTGTGTTACTTAGAATAATTGTGTTTTGAAAAATATCTTAATATTGTCATTTAAGGTCATCTGGTATTGAGTGTATACGACTATAAATAACAAATTTTAGTGACTACACATTAAAAATTTGGAAAAAATGGGTGGTCCTCTCGAAGCGGTGAAAACAATAAAATTACATAAAAAAGAATGTATAGTCGCTAAATTACGTGCGACTATCAATATAAGCCGCTGTCAATAAATATCACCTAATTATCGGTCAACCAACACTTATTGTTGTAACTTTGGATGTGGGTTATTAAATTACGTGAGTTTTTCTATTTGTCTTACTTATAGACTTAATTGTATATACATTGTTTATGTCATACAATATTGTAACTGAGCAGATTAGTTATCCTACTTTATGTTGTGTTGTGCTTTTCTAATTAAGGTTACATACCTTCTTATTACAAATATGTGTTGTGTTTAAAGTCACACCGATCTAGGTAGGTCATATTGCGACGTTCCAGGAAACTTATAAGTTGTCTAAGCTTATTGTTTTACGACACAAGCGGGTATTTGTATTATTGGCCTTCTATAAATTTGCTGGATAGCTTCCGAAAATAAAAAAAATCAAAGTCACAAAAGTGATATAAAAATCTGGGTATTTAATTGAGATTACGAATATATGTACATTTTGTATGAAATAATAATGTATCTTCGAGTACGGGTTATGTTATCTTGATGAATGTATGTTATTTTGATTTTTACAAATATATGTTATAAAATGCTGTGTTTATGAATGTGTTTTATATAATAGTGCTTCTACGAATGTGTGTAATTGACTGCTGTTAAATATGTGTAATATTAATTGCTACAAATACATGTCACAAAAAAACTTGATTTTACGAATGCATCTGATGACTGTTTCAAATTATATTTGCTTTACATGTACATTTTATACAGTGTTGCTTCTACGAATTTATGTTATGTAAAGTGTTTCTTTCTGTACATTTATGAACGAGAAGTTGTTCTTCAAATGGATGCTCGGCTAGACCTTCGTTACATGGGAGAATTTGAATACAGAATTTATGAAAGATTTTGTTTTCTCAGGAATAAATTTTCAACATGAACATGAACTTTTTCGTGTTTTCACATGAAACATCAAATATCTGTGACTGGGCTTTTGCATTATCTGAATTGTGTTCGGACAACAAAATGCATTTTCTTAGTCAGGGAATCGTAGTTGCTGTTTTGTGTTTCAGAAATATTAACTAGTTCGTACTATTAAACTGTTACGGACAGTTTTGTTAATCACATTTTTGGTGCATTATTGCTCTCAATAAAATTGTCACCTTAGTGCAGTAACAGTTTAACTCTTATCAAATTATATAAGGAGTTAACCCGTTTCTGTACTAAGGTTAAAAAAATGTCATCGACAATTTTTTCCTCACATTTTTTATCCCTACTTTTTTGCAAATAACTGGATTATGTTCGCATTCTTATTTATTTCACTATTTAAAGAGTTTCGGTATTGGCAGATTTTTTTTCAAACATGAAAAGCGTGATATGTTGTAATCTTTTACAGAAAATTGGTCTTGCACGGAACAGTCTTCTGCAAAGGACATATTGATACAGGTGGACGCACCAATAATGCGCATCTATGTTGCTGCTATTGAATACAAAGTTTTCTCTTGATGTACTTGCAATGATGATTTGAATTGTTGCTTTATTAAAATGTAATATTCTAATTTACAGTTGAACCATTATTGCAAATCCCCGATCTGGCATTCAGTTCCAGCATTCAAAAGTCACAAATTTAAAAGGACACACAATTTAAGCTTAAGCCGGTGCTATGGGGCGTGGACAGTGACTTGCACTTTCCAGTCTGCAACATTTCTCAATTTTCCCGTTGTTGAGTTTTCTTTAGGTATTCTTTTTTTCTCTATTCTATGGTCACATCAGTGTTATTTGTGTCGTGTGGCGGCTGTCAAAAGTTTCCTAGTACATTTAATCAAAGATGTTATAATTTCGATCATTAAAGATCATTCAGCACGATATCACTGTTGTGAATGCAAGTTTTTGTTATTTTTAGTTTCTTCCATTTTCATCTTGGGTGGTTCAAGTTTTCCTTTGAATACTGTTTAATCATCTTTTGGATATGGAGCCTGCTTTTATAATTGTCTTTTGACGTCTTATCTGTGATAAGCAAGCTCCATAACCTCTGATCCTCTTTCAAATTTTCATTTATTTAGTTTGGTCAATTGTTTTCATGTTTAGGACACACGCATTATTTAACTTTGGACCCGCTTTACATGGAAAGGCACCAACGTGTCACATTTAAAGTTCTAGTGTAACCGCCATATGAATACCTCTGCGGATGTTTCTAAATTCAAAATGTCACACTTTTCGTGTTTAAATGTTGAATTCTTCTTAAGCCGGTGCTAATTAGGGGCCGTGGACGGTAACTTGCACTTTCCAGTACCATCCATGAACTGGCTCGATCAAACCGAGCCTGCAACATTTCTCAATTTTACCGTGTTGGGCTTTCTTTAGGGATTCTGTTTTCTCTATTTTATAATTGTTTTTCTGACTGCAAACGTGTTGTCTAATTATGGTCTGCACTGTTTGCTATTTAGACACTACACATTTGGAAAAAAAATCTATAATTGATGATAGACTTTGTCCAGATTAAAGACGGATAAAATAGAGAAAAGAAAAAAATCCAAGTACTTCCAAAACTGCAATATTGAAAATGTTGCAGGGTCGTTTTGACTGAGCCTGTAAAGTGCAATCTACCATCACGCCCCCTAGCACCGGCTTAAGCAGAATTTGACAATTAACATTCTTTTTAGATTTCGACAAAGGATTTGACGTTAACTTTCTGTCTTTTCTGAAATGTTATTTAATTTCATTAAAACTTATTTTTGTTTTTGTTTATATGCATATAATTTTGTAATTATTTAAAACCGATTAACCATGCAATTACAATTTTCCAAGCCAAATTGAAATTTTCAATTTTTTCATTCTACAGTCCTTTAATTAAATGCGACTGTCCTAAAAAATTATAAAGTTTCTTCATAGAAACGGGTTTTTAAAGATAACATTTTTTGCATAGTCGAACACACGAAAGAAATAAAATTCCAGGATAGTATATTTTTCCGATAACCTTAGCCTATATCAAAATAATACAAATCAGGATTTTCGTCAATCTAAAAGATTACTATTATGTTATCAGGCAGAAAAATAACACCGCTAAATCACTCTGGCATCCATGGGATTTATGCCAACGTCATGACAATTTCAGAACATGAACCGATGTCGTGAAAGCCAAACATGAAATTTAATCACGGAGCTAATGGATCGATTAATAAAATCAATCATTTTATGGATATTATAATAGCACAACAAAATATTTGTGTTTTGCTTGACAATTAAAACGTGGAAGGTAATGAGTGTGACTGATCTGTCTGCTGGCATGTCTCTAAGGTAACACGTGAAGTGTTTCTATGGGAACACGTGATAAGGTGTAAATTACAATACATTATTTTCATTAATTAACGGACACTTTGTAGAAAGTTTCATCCGATATATGTATAACCACGCGTATCAAAATTGCAAATGACATTGGATTACCAGAGACAATATCCACCTGAGAGAGAAAATAAAATAAATTATATACACGTGTCCGTTTACAGATTACGATAGGATGCTTAAATAAATAGTAAGTTTCCAGCTCATACAAGTATTGTTACGTTTTGATAGGATGATCAAGTATTTAGTAAAAGTAAATAAAATAGAAAAAAATTGATAGGATGATCAAGTATTTAGTAAAAGTAAATAAAATAGAAAAAAATTGATAGGATGATCAAGTATTTAGTAAAAATAAATAAAATAGAAAAAAATGATAGCAATCAGAAAACCTAGTGATCATGGACAACAATATGATTTCAGTTGTATAGTTCTATTACAATTGGCCTGTATCAAATTAATGGTTGGAAAATATTAATATATATTGAAATGTATCCGTTTGAAAAGCTATGTATTGTTCACAGTTTATATATGTATACATACATGTATATAATAATATAACTTATAGGTCCGATGGGCCGGGTAATTTCGTATGTATTCTTATCATGTATATATATTTGATATAAATTATGCCACAATAATAAACTATTAACCCATTACGCGATATACACGCCTTTTAACGCCCCCCCCCCCTTTTGTTGTCTCAAATGGTGAAAAAATGCCTTATTTAGGCCCCCGACACTTGTTTTTGTTTGAGAAATGTTGTTAAAAAAGTGACCACTTTTTCGGTGCAGCCCCCCAACCGAAAGATACATCAGGGGGTTACCAGAAGGAGGATGTACCCCCTTCTGTTTGGGGGATTTGAAGGGGTGCGGAGTCCCCCTCATCGCCAAGAAAATTTTGGACTTGTGAGAGGCTATAAATAACCCAGATTGATCATTAGGTGAAAAGCTGAAAAGCATTTGACTCTATCTCAATCCATTGAGAAGTTGAAGCACTTTGAAATCAACTTTGATGGAAAAAATTAACGCAAAATAGTGATTTTTGGCAATTTTGAGATGTCCCCTCGTTGCCATGGTAAAAGAAAATTTAAAAACATTTTTGCCAAGTTTGATTAGTGTTGAAACAGTTTTTATAGTATTATAGCAATTAGAACTTAACGGGAGACTTTTCAATGAAAACTGAAAACAGGCATTTTTCACAAAATGCTCATGAAGTAATGGGTTAACTTACTTATTTATACATATGTTCATATGTGTAAATTATAAATGTCTAAATACAAATAGAGTAGACACAGAAATGGTTTTGTAGAAAAACTAAAACACAAAACATAATAAGTTAACATAAGAAGTGCATAAAGATTTTAGTATCGAAAAATACGCTTTGCTTAATTATTCTTTACGATAAATATATTTCTCAGTATCATGTAAGTTTTGTTAACTTTCTTTCTTTCTAGATATTGGAAATAAAAAAAGGTTTACAAGTTATTTATGTGTTAAAATGATATATATGATTACATTCAATTATTTGTGAAAAATGTAGCCGCTATCTTGAAGCGTACATGTAATTACAGAAAGGCACGTTTTCATTGCAAAACATTGCATAGTCAAAATGCCATTTGTTTACTAAAATGTCAAAACTTTGGTTAATTTGAGATATATTATTGGAAGTATAATAGAGTTTGAGTACCCTATCCAAGAAACAAGCAACCACATGTAGGTTGGTACCCTGTAAGATGTTAGAGGATCTGTAAAAGTAATAATGTAGAAAGGGAGCCAGCATAAAATATACGAATATGATAACAAAATTATTATGCGCGCCAATTTTGTCCCAAAATGCCTCCTGTTAAAACTGCGTCTTTTCGTGTTGATTTGTACAAGTTTATAAAACATTTGTTCCCGTTTTTTAACAGATGACTTTGTACATGCATTGCAAATCAAAATGAACGCTGTCGGCACAATATAACATATACCTGTTGTTGCAAAGGCGTATGGCTTATTTGAAATAAATTGGCACATCTTTGTTCGTTGAAATAAACATTCCATTTGTTGTTCAATCCCTTTTATGTGAATTTTCGGAAGAATAAAACAAAAAGACAAAATAGCTGGAATTATCCAACATCCGATGAATAGTGTCGTATTGAACTTCCGGTTTAACCAGTAACTTCGTCTAAAAGGTCGACATATTGAAAGATATGCGTCGAAAACCAACACGGAAAGGTGAAATATAGAGCTTGTGCGGGTCATGACATCAAAACTGTTGCCGACATCACAGAGTAAGAGCTTTAATTGGTCACGAACGTGTATCTTAACAGAAACTAATCCAAATAACTTGACCGGAAGTACGAAAACTCCGGAGAAAGTGTTACAGATCATCAACGAACATAGAAACAACCGGGTGTTAGCTTTTAATTTCGGTGCACGTACAGTGTACGCTAATGTTATAATATTTATAGTTATATCAACTACAGGAACGAATGCTAAACAATATCCAATCACTTGCCCTGCTAAATAACTATAACCCCAAGTTGGCGTCGTACATTCTACCTGGTTTGAGGAGATATTCCCACTGAGTAATGAAAAGTTCATCACCATATAGATATACTGTCAACAATATACACTATAAAACGGTAACTGTATTTCAAATGAAACTAAATTCATCACTTTACACATGATACTTCCTTTTTCCTCCCCACCTCTTTGTTGCAAAAATACATGACTGTTTATATCGTTAGAATAATTTTCACAAATTAACTTGTCAACGTATATAACACCCCGGCTCTAAAGTCAATGGCTGTATGTATTCATCGGGAATCACATGATCCAATATTAGATATACCCAGCAGTCCGCACGATGTAATTTTATACAGCATAATTACCACTGGTTTAATGGCATTCTATCAATTATATTGAGCAAACTATTTTAGTCTTGTATGTAGTCTACCTTGATTTTGAATATTTTATCACCGATCGATATAGCATTAAACATTTTTCAATCTAATTTTTATGAAATTAATATGCATCATATCTAAACCAGAGAAATTAAATTCGCATTGAAATAAGCTATTGCAATTTTGCTCGGACACGTTGCGTGTGCAGCATTTATACAAGATTTAATATCAATCATTTATGGATTTAAACGGGTATACTAACTCTGTTCTATAGTTTGAACATTGCCGACATGCTTTCATTGGAATTTGACAATCGTAAAAGTTACCTAG